TGCGATTTGCAGCTCTGAATAAACTTACGCAGAGAAAGAGAACATTTGCGTTGTAACACTTTAGAGCTTTGCCCTAAACATTTCAGTTTCAAACAATTGTAAACAACACTTTGTTAGAACTGTTAATAGAATAGCAACGATCTTTTTTTCGGAATATGGACACATTTCAGTTTGCTCTATTTCAGAAAACGAATAAACACAACTTTCAAAAGACTATATATTTAAAAATTCCCAAAATTTGTAGTTTTTCTCAAAAGTCTCGAAAGTCTGTCTTAGCGAGCTTGACAACTAATTTAACAGTTTTTATTTGCGGTTTTATCAAAGCTTATCTCCTAAATCATTGTGCATTAGCAAAGTAACAAACTCTCTGCTAAGCTCTCAACTTTTCATTTTATTTCAGAAGCTTGCTCTGCTTGTAGTTTTAGTCATCAACTTGGGAGCCTACGTATCTAGTTACCCTCTATCCAGCAACCAATGCTGCAGTGAGGTCAGCAGCAGTTGCTGCAGTAAAACCAGCAACAATTGCTGCAATGGAAGTGGAGGAAATCGTTGCGGCAGCACCAGCAATTGCTGCAGTGAAACAAGTACAAATTGCTGCGGTCGGACAAGCGGAAGTTGCTGCAGTGAAACAAGTACAAATTGCTGCGGTCGGACAAGCGGAAGTTGCTGCAGTGAAAGGAGTAGAAACTGTTGCAATGAGAACGTGAGCAATTGCTGCCGAGAAGAGAGCCGATGTTGCAATGGAAATGCCAGCGATTGCTCGTGTGGCGGGGGAAACAACTGTGGAGGCAAAGGAAAATGTTCCTGTGAGGACATCGATGATAAAGAGAAAATCATATATAAAAATTCAACTGAAGAAGGGTGTAGCAAACCCTGCAGTAACACAACAATTTCCACAAACAGCACTAACGTTAACAACAACAACAATACAGTCATAGTGCCCACAAATATAACAGTTGAAAATACGATCCACAGTGAAACTCGGGTGTATATTCCGATTAATGTGTCTGTGGCGAACGAAAACAACATCAACATTGTACCTGCAGGTCCCGATGTGCCAACTGTTCCACCTCAAAATTGTACAAACCCACGCCCAGAGGGTTGTAGGAATTACACAGAGGTTGTAACCGTCAAAGTGCCAATTCTCGTCCAAGTGCCGGTTCCCTACATTGTGACTATTAACAGACTTATACCGGTTCCAGTAGGTTGTTGCCAAGTGGTGGTTCCTTGCACCCCTTATATTTATGGAGGATGTCACACTTCCAGCACTCAATGCGACTCCTGCTCTGGAAATGTGATGTATGAGCCTAGGAATGTTTGTGGGATGGGTTGCCACAAAAGGGACATAGGAGTTGGTACCCATTGTCAAACTGGGGGATGTTCATCTGGTCGAATCGACTGCTCGATTTGCAATGGGGACTTTTATAATACCTACGAAAATTTTATGATGTGCTCTGGGTGCTTTGTGCCAATGCCTTGGGGTATGGGCGGGTAATAGGCAACAGATTGGGTTTGAAAATATTGTATGAATAAATTGTATAGTAGGTTAATGTATTGACTTAGAGTAATTCCGGGAGAGATGAACCACCTTTTTTGATTCGACTCTATCTTCACAAAAAATAGCTTTATTGACGTAAAAAAAATGTTGTCACGAACATTTGAACTAACTGCAATCAGAACTGTAACTAAAGACTAAAAACTCGGACACATTTGGTGACAAAAAAATAAAACAAAAAACCGTTATGTGGTCCAACTAACCCGAAGTCTGCGGGATAGTTGAACCACCAATTTGGGACAGTTGGACCACACAGGGAGAGATGAACCGTAACAAAGGATAAGGAACAAAATTAAACTTAATTATTATTTTTTTTTTAATTAATACGTTTTTTTGCGGCATTCATTCCACATACATAAGTTTGTACACGACTCATCAAACACCTTCAGCAACTCTTAGGCTAAGATCTGAATGAGGGCTTAGGAAAAGATGTAGGGAGTCGTATTCTGCCATTTTTGTGATTACGTTAAAACGATGCTTCAACGTTAACTGTTTAGCAACAGCAAACGTCATATGTCGCATATCATTCCGTGTTGGGGCAAAACCAAATTTTTGCAGCTTTTTACATGTGCTACTATCGTCGCTTCATTTTCTTCTCCTAAAGTAGACGAAAAACTGGCTCATTGAGAGCCAGTTTTTTAGTTTTCCACACGGCTTTCTTGTAATTAGAGTAGCTTTGGGAATATTAAAGTGTCTGGCTGCGGCTTTGACCCCCATTGTTTCTGTATTTATAGGCTTTACAACATTTTTAGGTCTTCTTCGGTCCATCTAGCTCTTTGTGAGCTCAACTTCCGTTGGTATTTTGTAAACATTGTATAAAACAGAAAAATTAAAACCGGTTCAACTGTCCCGATTTACTCTGGTCCATCTATCCCAAATTTCAGGGATAGACGGACCACCCAAAAACAAAAAATCTATTTATTAATCG